AGTAAAAAGTTGAAAGAAAAAAAGAGGCGTCAAAGGTTTTAAAATGTTTAGTTTCTCAAGCAGAACTATTGAAGCATGGAACAGCCTTCGAAAAAAAACTTTATGCGTGCAAATAATGTACAGTTGCGGAATTATATTTCAGTACACTTTCTGGGTCCCACTTTTGTACCTCTGGCAACAAGTCGAAGTAAACATAGCGTAAATAGTATTTTTGTGAATGATGCTAAAACCCTAGGTAGTTTGTAACAAAGAGTGTGATTGGTCGAAAATAAGTAACCAATAAGTGTATTAATGAATATTTTTTAAAACTAAGTAAGCTATTTGATCTTTCGCTTTCTTCTAATTAGTGATAAAGAACAAAGCATGTAATATTAGTTATCGTTGACTTTGTAGTTGGATATTCTTCAAATGCGATATCCTGGAATTGTTTGCATATCCAAATGGCAACATCTATGATAGGGAGGCGGCATTTCATACTCCTTACAGCATAAGTATCATTTATAGATACATATTTCTTAAAACATGAAAAAGTTTCATGCTTTGAACATTTATGTATGGTAACTAAATTACCTAAAACTCTGTAAAATCCCTGAGACCTCTGTAAATACCGCACCATCTAGTAATCGACCTAATATATTTTTTTTTTAAATCTTTATGTCTGAATCAAACACATATTGAATACACAGAAACCGTGCTAAATTAGATTTTTCAATACAGAGCATGAACAAAATCACAATTAGGTTACACTGAATATGTAGATTCGTCATTGATGTGTGTGTGTGTCGTCTATGAAATATGGTCATGCTTGGTAATGAGTTACGAGTGTATAATCAGCTATTATTATGCATTGAGTCTTGGCATTGAGGAGTTGTCTCCACATTCGAAGAGGTGAGCGAGAAAATGCATGTTTGCTTGTTTCAACTCAAGCAACTATTAGCTGGGTGGTTCCAAGGAGGGTGAATAGCAAAAATCTTAGAACCAACTCCCAATACTTGTGTTGTATATCTTGTTCATTCTAATGAAATGGGAATTTCTCGGTCAGTTATTGTCATCTATCCATTTTATTTTTATTTGCCAGTGCAATGTAGTGCAATATATGCGCAGGTGTAGATGATATTAGCATATCAAACCTTTACATCAAATTCATTCTCTTTATACATTATCCTAGAAGTAATAATTTCAACAATGTAGAAAATAACACGAAGTCTTATATTTCATATCTTTTATGACGATGAATATTCATCAATTCCTGAATATCCACTTCGCTGAAAAAATAAATGTCCGATGGTCTTAGACGTCATAATAACATGAGAAATCCGAGGTCAAAACGAGGTTGCCAAGCTGACACCTTTTTCAGGATGGACGCAAAGAAAGCTGTAATCTGAAATAGACTGCTACAATGGGGTGTCATAGCAATCGCATGGTCCTGGGTTCGCTCCCGGCTGCCCCTCCCAGTCGACTCAGCTGTGAATGAGCACTGTTATGCTGACGCCAGCATGCTAGGGTCAAGTCGGGCAGAAAGGAACAGGTCACCCTACCGCATCATCCCGCGGCTTAGTAAGCATGTTTCTCTACAAAACATGTCCCTTACGTCCAGATGGATATGGGACCAACTTTGACTTTTGACAATGGGTTGAGGGAAAGTAACTTCTCCAACGGTGATATCTTCGGAGAGCTGGGCATCTCCCGGACGATGGCGTACAGGCAGATAGGGGGGGGGGGGGGGAGAGGAGGGCACCCATAACGAGGAAAATACACCGGGAATACACGGAAAGCTCCATTGCTGAAGGGAATTTCAGAAATCAATTTATTTCAATTTACTGTATAGATATTTGTTTATACAAAACAGTGCCCTACACGTCATATTTCATGTTCAGATTCTATATCGTTATTTACATTTCACATATGACAGACAAATTATCAATAAAACGGCGCGGCCGCGTGACCTGCGATATGTGGAGGTGGATCTCCCTATATGACATTGGCGAAACGGGGAAAATGCCTCAGACAAATATATCGAATTGTTAGAAAAAAATCCTCCCATCAGTACACTGTTATTCCTTGGCCCTTTCCAGAAACAATGAGGATAACTGCCTTAAACACACGTCCAGGGCAGTTACGAAGTAGTTCCCTGCCTAACACCAAGTGGAAGTCCTTCGATGGCCAAGCGAGGGATGTCGCTCAAATCCGACGAAAAATGTTTGGCCGAATATTGTCAATGTTTGAGAAACGGCAAATGAAACAACCTCGAACCAGCTGATAGAAATCGAGACGTTACATGTGAACACGTCACCTCTGTCTCAGGGATCAGACACCGTTGAATAACAATACATATTTCCTATTAAAAGCATTACTATTTGTCTTCCTTTTCTACAGTTATTGCCATTTTTTGTAAAAGTATCTCCAAAATTAATAAACATCCCCCTCCAAAATTAATAAACATCCCCAATTAGTCGATTCACTGATGCCCCATCATCTATGAAAAAATAAAAATAAATAA